AGCAGAAGTTATTTGGAGAGGAGAGTGACTGCTGTTGGTTGAAAAGAGGTAAAAAAACTTGAGTGTGGAAACATTATGGGTTCATGAGTCAGACGTGGATCAAGTAGACACAGTGTGTAAACTTTGCTACAGTGTCGTAGCTGCACCACAGAGCAACACTGCAAAGTTCACTAAACATAGATGTTTACATTTTTCATTTATTTCTTATATTGCAAACATTTGTACTGTTATCAGTATTTGCACTATTTTATATTATTTTTGACAATCTTTAAAGTCATTATTCAACACATTGTTATTGTTAAATAAATATCGTCAATTTCAGTGAAAATAATCGTGATTATCATTTTGGCCATAATCGAGCAGCCCTACCCAGGAGAATTCTCTTTCCTGGCTCCTAGAATGACCATAATGTGGAAAATGAGCTTCATGTTCACTTTAAAATCTGAAAGATAAGATCTGAAATTCAGCACATTCTCTTGTTTTCCCCCATCGAATCTGAACCTGTGAGTCACATCAACATCCAAGAGGCTACAAACCACTGCAAGGATCGGTGCTCTCTACTGAACCACAACTCATAAACCCCCGGCCTCTTTCATGCTTCAGCAGGGGAACACAAAGCATGCCTGGGGCAGTCACAGCCCCTGTCTGCACCACGTAACTAGCCCAAGCTTGCTTGTGCTGTTGTTGGTGCTTCAGTCAATAAGAAGAGTAAAGTTCTAACATACAAAACACTAAAGTTAGATTTTTTTATCTCAAGTATTCAAGGAAGACTGGTGACAAAAATATAATAATCTCTCTAATAATTACAGTTAACATCTGAAGAAGCTGAAATGATCAAAAACTATTCCAGCAGAGACTCTCCAAAGATCTGGGCTGGATTGCCTGAAACAAATGAGCAGCATTTCCTCTTGTTTAGGCGCATTGGGACAAAGTGGGCACTGTTGTTTGAATAGGGAAATATCTCCATACAGGTACATGAAAACATCTGTTACCTGAACTTACTGGATTCAAAAATCAGCTATTATTTTTTTCCAATATCATTTTTAGAAGGCCATGCAATTCATTGTTCTTGTTGTCTGAACAATAACTGTAGTCCCACTTTACAACGTAAACGTTAGAGGAGGGTGGATCCATCCAACTTTGCCATCCTTCAAATTCAGTATGTAGCCCACTGAACTGTGTTAATTATTTCTTTGAAAAAATAAACCTCAAACATGCACGTCAAACGATTTCTAAACCTTTTTGTGTGTTTAGAGACAGAAACATTTACATTCCAGGTCCCCAAAAACCCCGTTTCAAAACACATGAAAAGCTGAAAGGTGTGTTTTGTTGTGTTAACTAATTATTATGCAAAGTAACAATGACAGTGATGGTGAATAAAATGTGCTCAGAATTTGCAAATTGAGACTTCATCTCCTAAGTGATGGCACACCACTCTCCCCCAATCAGCTGCCTGAATAACTTACAATTACTGGTACGGATATCAGCAATAGTGGCGCTGTATTTACTTGGTATTGGATTGATACCAAAATGTGTAGTGTGGCGCTGCTCTACCGTGGATGACGGAAAGTGTGAATGTAGGATGTTTTTGTTGAAATGTCCAGGCAAGTACATACATGTTAAATGACACATATACGTGTTCACATAACGTCAGTTAACTTCAGGCTTTTATTTCTACATGATAATTCTTCATAATTAAACAATAAGGATAAGTTGTCTGATGTCCTGTGATCGTTATGAAACTACAAATTTAAATCACACATTAAGTTTCTGTACAAAGTATCGGATCGGAAAGGAAATCAGTGGTATCGCAAATCACTGCGGCATAAATAATAAATACGTTTGCTGCGACGTCACTCGGTGCCATGACAGAAAGCGGTAGGAACTGTCGTAAAACGGATGTGGCAGTTTCGTACGGGACCCTTCGCGCAGTGCAGTGCTTGGTGAGTGCGAGATGAAATAAACACACAGGAGCAACATTACCACAGATACCGTGGGTCAGTACTACAGCACCCAGCTCACTCACAGCTTCTCACTGACGCTTTAATATTTTGGCAGCTTAAAGTTAAATAACTGTTAAAGCTGTTGACACTCGGCTGTGTGAAGAAACGCTAATAGTCGTATAACTAGATGCTCGTACAACAGTAGTGTTGTAGCGGCTCACCTGTGAAACGTTATTCCCCGCTGCTTGGTGTTGGCGTTCCTTTGATTAGAGCACCCGAGAGCGGCACAAAAGTCTGGCATCTTCTGTTGTTTTGGGCTGACCCGAAGAACCCCGCTGCAATATGGCGGCGGGATGAACGCATCGCGGAAGGAGCCTTCTTCTTCTTCTTCTTTGTGTTTAACGGCGGTTGGCAACCAACGTAAAGGAGCATTACCGCCTCCTACTGTTCCGGAGTATGGGTCAGACAGTGAGTTTACAATTTGTATCCAAATAAAAAAATAAAAAAAAAACGCATCGCAGGGGCCGGATGAGGAACCCGCGTATGAATCGTCATGAAGGCAGTGGTCACGTGATCCGGAAAACAAACTGGGGTTTTTTATTGAGCAATTGCAAAATACAAACTCTCAAAGAGGATAACACGGATAATAATACAAATGAAAATTAGAAACAGTACAAGAAATACAGCATTAGGGGAATAATAGAAAAGTAAATGAATAAAAAAGTACAATTAAAAAAACAGAAAAGATACATGGCAGGCATTTAAATTGTGCATAAAAGGGAGCAGTGAAACAAAAAACATAAAATAAGACAAAATTTAGAATAGCAGGAGATGGGCAATCCCTGGTAAAAGTTATTGGCGTATTTGCTCTCTGTCTTTTTAAGTGAAGAAAAAAAAACTTAAAATCATTAATAAAACCAGGGAAAGAAGGCTTAGAGTTCCTCCATTTAGCACAATGGATATGATATTTACTCAATACCATGTTGGGTAAATATCTCTGACAGAGACATCCAAAGCAAGATGATCCATATAAAAAACATATGATATAGTTCAAATGGTGGCACATCATTCATTTTTAGAGAAATCCAATTTTTTATGTCACACCAAAAGCATTGTGTTACAGGGCATGGAAAAAATGTTTTAGGGTTTCATTTTCATCAGTACAAAAAGAACACTGATCCACCTCACAGCCAAATCTCTTTTTTAGAAATTCGGCCCTGGAATCAAAACCGACTGGACCTGCACACGCTCTGATTAGAGCCGGGCTACGTTAGTCTTGGCACAGTTTAGTTCTCGCCTGTTCTCGCTCACTTTTCAACAAAACGGATGATTTGAAACAGTGACAGGTGTAGAACAATAATTTCCGAGACGTGGCTGCATTAAAAACATCCTAGATGCAGCTGTGGAAACACAGGGGCACCGTGTCTACAGAGTGGACTGCACACCAGAGGCTGAGAAGAACAAAGGAAGAGGCGTGTGCATTTGTCGAAAGACAATTTCTGGACAAGAGAAAAACATTTTCGACAGACTCGGAGTTCACGTTGCTAAAATGGACACCTTTTCATCTCAGCAATGAACGTAGCACGCTGTTTGTCTTTGCTGTGTACAGTCATCTATGTACCAGTGCAAAATTAGCCGCGAGTAGACTGCATGATGCCATCAGTAAACAACAAGACTTCCAGCTAGTTCCCTTATTATGGCGGGGGACTTTAACCACACACACCTGAACTCTGTGTTACCAAAGTGCCACAAAAACGTTCCCATTGGAACATGGAATGGAAAAACACTGGATCAGGTTTACACCAACATCAGAGGATCCTCCAAGACCTGCACAGCTGCCCACCTTGGACAGTCAGACCCTTTGGCTCTGTTTTTAACTCCTTCACACAACCCTCTTATCATCAGGACAGGTCACGGTCTGAGGAGACTGATTGTGTCCCATCACATGTCGCGCCTGCAGTCTTAGGCTACGTTCACTCTGAAGGTCTTGATGCTCAAATCTGATTTTTTTGTCTGCTCGTTCACACTACAAATAAAATGCGACAGCAAACGCGCTCTAGTGTGAACGCTCAAAGCGCCCGCATGCACAAAAGAAGACGTCACACACAACGCGCTCTGTTTAGACCCAGAGCAACAGTATTGTTTGACTGATGACCTTAATATAAAGACTTCAGACTTCACGTTTCCCAATTTTTGCTTTAAGTTATTTTGTTATTTACATAATAATGTAAATAACCTAATAATGATCCTTATTGCTGTTTTAGAGGAGCGCTACTTCAAAGGATAGTTGCAGATTTCTGTCAGAATCTGCAGATTATACAGAACAAATAAAATGTTCACGTTTCTCCAACGTTGTCTTCCCAACAGTTTCACTAACATCTACACCGGATGGCCAGGAAGCGTTCGTGATGTCTTCTCCGGCGCTGATAATTGGCGTCTGTCTTGTGTCGGTGACGTAAAAGACGGATTTAATACGACATGACCCTCAAACAGCAGCTTTCTGAAACATCGGATATGTATCGGATTCAGCGCCACATACGAAAGTGACCCAGATCGGATTTGTGCCGTTCACACTGTCGCACCATGATCGGATAGATGGGTCGCATAGGGTCAGAAAATCGGATTTGATGCGCTTTCGCCTGCAGTGTGAACGTAGCCTTTGTGGTGCTTTGGCTGGTTGTGCACTAACGGTACTTTCAAGCTCTTCCAATGCTGTGGTTGCATTGGAAGAGCTTGCATTACGCTGCATCCAGATGAAAAGAATAAACTTTCTGGGATGTACTTACCCAGTTGTTTGAGCATGCAGATATGTAGCACGTAACTTTGCTTTAACTATGAATAATTTGTGGTTCTTCACCTCCCATGTGGGATCCCTGACAATAAGGGATAATAACAATTAAGACGATGCTTTACGTTACTGTGAGTGTAATAAAAGTGTCCCAACAACTGTTACATCAACCATAATGAGCAAGAGTGAGGGAAGAAGCAGAAGAGCATCTCTAGCGTGAGCGCATTTAGCTTTGGTAACTCACAGTTAGCAGTCAACTTAAACACTTACGCAAACGTAGGAAAAACGCTGTCGCAGCCAGGGTGAAATACACGAGTCATCTTGCCTTTAAGCAATATTCCATCTAAATATGAGGTCAGTGCATCTGTACGTAACATGAGCTCCATTTCTGAGAAAAATCAAAGACAATCAGGTCCTTATATATTTGAACACTGACACAAGTTTAGTTTTTAACCTGTTTACTGAAACATTTTCCAGTTATGGTTCTATAATGGACGTGGACATGATGTGTAGACTATCTACATTCAAACTGGATGAAGAGTTTAGAAATCTCAGCTCCTTAACATGTGCCAGCCTGTTTTTAAAGGGACCAATGTAATTGGTGGGCAGTTCCTTCGTTATGTCCTTGTGCCTGGAGCTGATTTGAGGTGTGCTGCTTGCATTTGGAGATTTTGCTGTGAACAGACAACATGTGGTCAAAGGAGCTGTGCATGCAGGAAACAAGCCGTCCTGAAGCTGCAGAAACAAACAAAAACAAACCCATCTGAGAAATGTCTTTACAATATGGAAACATCTACAGTTTGGTTCATCCTGAGAAAGAAAGTAAGCACTGGTGAAGTCAGAAACACAAAAAGACCTGAACGTCTATGGATGACTGCAGAATCATTACCATGGTGATGAGGAAAGACTTTACAACAGCCAATCAGGTGAACAACACTCTCCGTGAGTAAGGCGTGTCCATATCCAGTGGTCCATGAAGAACGCTGGACAGCTTGCACTGCAAGAGTTTATTAAAGCAAAGAAGTGGAATATTCTTGAATGACCAAGTCAGTCACCTGATCTTAACCCAACTGAGTATGTCACGTGTTGACGACAGACAGCAACTGAAAGCTGCTGCAGTAAAGGCCCGGGAGAGTCAGGAGGACATCTAGTGATGTCCATGAGTTCAGACTGTCATCACCGGCAAAGGATTTTCACCCCAGTATTAGAAATGAACATTTTATTTTCAGTTTTTTGATTCGTCCAATTACTTTTGAGCCCCTAAAATGATGGGTGATGTTAAATAAATGCTTTTAAATTTAATATTTTTATGCAAACTTTTAGTTGAACTTGCTGAATGAAAGCTGAAAGGCTGCACTTCACCTGCCTCTGAGTTGTCTTGGTCCTGATATTTATGCACCTTATATCAGCACACGTGCACCCACAGTCTGACTACACATGAAATACTGTTTTTTGTGCGTCCTCTGCATAGATGAGTGTGTGTGCGCTGAATGAAAAGCAGTTCTTTTCCTGCTGTCAGCTCCTCCTGCAGCAGTCTGAGCATCTGAGAGATGGCTGGAGCTGGGAGGCCGTGCAGGTGAGGAGGCCTCTCAATCTTAATGTTGACGAGCAGCCTGGAGCTGTGCTTTAAAGGAGTCTGATTTTGGTGCAGGGTTCAGAAGAGGGCTACCTCAGGAAGACTGTTCTCAGGTCAGTCGTAGCCGACTGCTGCGATGCACAGAAACAGGAAGCTGCTTCGGTTTCCCCCATTTTCGCTCCCCCCATCCAAGAGCTGCAGCAACAGGAAAGGACGCAGGTGAAACTTGAGCAGCGCTTCATTTTCCAGCTGTTCTCCACTAAACATCACTAAACGTGTCTCTTCCTCCACAGCCTGTTGTTGCTACCCGTCTTCATTCTGACGGCATCACAGGCGACGGCGGCGATGAGGACGATGCGGTCTGCGTCATGTCTGAAGGCAGCAGCCACGTGCTTCAGTACGAGTATCACATCCTGTACTCGTGCAGCTACAGTGCTCCTGTGCTGTATTTCAGAGCGTTCACCCTGGGTTAGTTACACATGAGGAGCCACTGCACACACACACCTGCCCCGTGTCCTCCTGTTTGAGCAGGACACCGCAACTGATGTTGGTGATGATGCACTAACCTGTGGCAGGAGGTCGTCCCTCAGCAGCTCCCTGTGGTATAAACTCACCCGTTTTGCTCTGCTTCTTTGTCAGAGGGTCGGAGTGTGATGTTAGAGGACGTGTGGAGCTCAGTTCATCCAAACTTCAGACGCTGCCTTCAGAACAGTCCTTTGACTGCAATCACTCAACAGGTAAAGGAAGTCTGGCATCATCGTCTTTACTTTCCTCCTGACGATCCACTTACTCTTGTGTCTGTGTGCCAGGAGCATCCTCTGCTGGGTCAGCCTTTCTTTATGCTCCACCCCTGTAGGACGGAGGAGTTCCTGAGGCCTGTGCTGCAGGAGGAACAGCCCAGGTAGGGGCGCTGAACCACAGCACTGTTAACCCTTTAAAACAGAGCAGCACGCTCTGTTTTGCGTAGCTATTTTTAAATCCCGGTAGCTCTGCAACCACGTGAGCTAGCGCAATAATTTCTTTTGCATATGAAACCAGAGGAGTTGTACTTACATCTTATGCCATCAGCTTGTCCTCGGTCACAGTTTCCTTCCACATATAGCTTTGCAAAAACTGCATAAAAAGCACTTGCAGCAACAAAAACATAATATTCCAGAAACACGCTTTGCCGATCCGATCAGCTGTTTGTAACACTTCCTACATTGGAATAGACGTCAGAGCGAACTATCGCATGTCTGCCATGACCTGCCCGAAACCGGAAGTGACGTCATTTTCGTGGAAATGTAGTTTTTTACCATCAGGGCCTCATGAGCCTATACTGGTGTTTTTAAAAGTTATCTTTGACTTTATGACTTTCTGTGTGGTTTCTGGGATGCTTAGGACTCATATTGCACTGCTGGAAATAGTTTATTTTGATGCATATGCTGCTTTTTTGCATATTTGCATTATAATATTTATTTTCGTTTTTCCTGCAGTGTATAAAAATTGGTGTATTTCAAAAATAAAACTATGAAGACACTCAAAATAAATTTCCTGTGGTGGGAAACTATTTTGTGCAACTTTTTTGTATTTACAGTTTTGAGGGATAAGCCTCTTAAATTTCTCTAACTAGAAATATATGTTAAAAAAACAAAAACGATTTTCAATTTTTTTGGAGTTTATTGCACTTTTTTGCAATTTATGTAGTTACTATGCACTTAATGCAGACATATTATTAAAATTTGGGCTGTAATGGTTGTATTGATGTATAGCAACTTGAAATGCTCCCAAAAATGGCTCCACAGCATGTAAAAATATAATATAAGCTCTGGCGGACTTGGTTCTATGGTAGGTCTTAAAGGGTTAATGTAAAACTCTGAGGCAGCTCAGTGAGCGGCTGAACGTGTTCAGTGTTGCTCTGTTGATCAGGCTGCAGCACCTCGGGAACGTCGACTCCTCTATTAAAATATTTCTCAGGCTTTTGTTTCTAATCTTATATTTTTAGCCTGGTTGGATTTGGATTGCATTTCAGAAAACAAACTTATTTTTAGGTCCACATTAGTGAAAACTGGACACTTTTTCAAGACCAACTGCTGCAAAATCAGATCACATCAACACACGTGGTGTCACACTGACACGTAGACGTGTTGTTGCTTTCACTAACTGAATGTCAGTTTATTCAAAGTGTTAACTCGGGAACCGTAGGACTCTGCAGCTGTCCACTCGTAGCTTTGGTTGTTACTCTGTGATTGTGGATGTAAAGTTAAACAGGATTGAACGTGCAGCTTTCAGGAGATCTCGTCTACACCCTCTGTCACCTCTGATGGTGACGTATGAAGATGCTATTTAAGAAAATCAGCTGATCCTAAAAAGTTTCTAAAATGATTTAAATACAAAGTCAACAACAAGACATATTGGAGCTAACACAACTAACCAGAAATACAAAAATACAGAAAACCCAACAACTACATCTCAGACTCTTCATGACAGTACAATTAGAAAAATGACTGTGTGTGTGTGTGTGTGTGTGTGGCAAAGTGTTTCTGCGCAGTGTACCAGGGGCACGGAGAAAAGTTGTTGTACCATAGGCACGGGGAGTGTGTGTGTGTGTGTGTGTACAAGTACTTTGTTTTTGTACTTAAGTAGAATTTTCAGGTACTTTTTTCTTCATTTTTATATGAATATCTGTAATTTCAACTCGTTACATTTTCAAAACAGTCTTGTTGCTTTTCAGTGTTTAGTCCAGCGGTCTCCAACCTTTTTTGCGCCACGGACCGGTTTATGCCCGACAATATTTTCACGGACCGGCCTTTAAGGTGTCGCGGATAAAT